GTGTTTTAGCAATGGAGGAAAACTTAATACAGCATTTTTTCACAGCCTACACTGCATGATAAAGCTGTAGCTTTTACAGTATTTTAACAGATGCGATTGAAAATCTAGCGAATTACAATACTTTAAACAAAACATACCCAAGTAACAGTAAAATTACAGATTTAAAATACTACTTTACAAGTAAATAATAAAAACTACTCAATTACAGTAATGTGAGTAATTGTAATCCATGCAGAACTCACATTTGAAAGAAAGGTCACCCATCATGCAACAAAGGGTGTTACACACCTTCAACAGACTCGGCATTGGAGGGTTTAACAACACACTCCCACTCCACCCTCATTGGTTTCGGAGCCTCCGTCTGAACTACTCCTTCACATCTTTCCTTGACCTCATGACGTTTTCCATTGAGGTCAACCAAAAGTGGTTAGGAAAGGAGAATTGTTTTGACTGTTTGACTGCAGCCTAGGAAATTGTTGAACAGAGCTGAGACGCCATCACAGGGTGAGAGATCTCTGCTGGAAAACACACGTTTGGAGTATTTGAAACAATCAAGGGAAGAGACGTTCACTCGGTGAGTCTGTGGAAAAATAACTTCAGTATCAAATGGCTGAGAAAATAACTCTTGTTGAAAGTTACCTGAACTGCCACGTGTGTTCAGAGACTTTCAGAGATCCTGTGTCTCTGAGCTGCAACCACAGCTTCTGTTCAAGCTGCCTGCAGAAATTCTGGGAACAAGCTGGAAACAAAAACTGTCCCATTTGTAAAAGAAAATCATTAAAGGATGATCTAGAAGTGAACTTTCCACTGAAGGAACTGGCTGACTCCTTTGCTGGGAGACAGAAAACTGGATCATCTGAGACAGAAAAAGGAGAGAAGAAGGTGGAGGCCTTGTGTGAAAAACATCCAGACGTCCCTTATTGGTTCTGTGAGGACGAGCAGAGAGCTGTGTGTCCTGTCTGTGAGTTTTCTCTCCACCAGAGTCACAAGGTGGTTCCTGTAGAACAAGCAGTCCGGGACCTGAAGGAGCAGCTGAAATCTGACTTAGAGTCTCTGCAGGACAAGAGGGACAAATACAAACAAGTGGAGGAAACATACACTTGTCCACAGAGAGGCAGATCAGAGCAGAGTTCAACAAGCTCCACCAGTTCCTGAAAGAGGAAGAGGAGTCCAGACTGGCGGCTCTGAGGGAGGAAGAGGAGCAGAAGAGGAAGACTGTGAGCAGAGAGATGAAGAAGATTCAGGAGCAGATGTCCTCTCTGTCAGACAGGATCTCTGCTGTTGAAGAAGAGCTGCAGAAACCCAGCGTGCCATTCCTCAGCAGTTATAAAGCCACTCAGACCAGAGCCAGAGTCCAGCGCTCACTGTCAGATCCACAGCTGCTCTCAGGAGCGCTGATAGATGTGGCCAAACACCTGGGCAACCTGTCCTTCAGAGTCTGGGAGAAGATGAAGAGGGGAATATTCCAGTATATTTAAGAGAACTGCAAGATGGTGTATTGGTGAGGAGTGTCTGACCGATTGACCAAAAATGCCAGGACCAATTTTTTGCCCACGTCCAGCCCTAGTTTCAGGGCAGGATAAGTGAATGGAAGGTAAAAGATATTTTATTAGTTATTACATTAGTTATCAAAAGGAGATCACACAGAATAGCTTACATGTATGTGATTTGGTCGTACACTGCACTGTGACTTTTACTGTCCTGTTTTACCCGGTTTTTATTTTTGATTTTCTATTTTACCCTTTTAAATCTGGATTTACAGCGACGACTGTATCTAAAGAAGAGTTAGAGTCCCTAAGTAACTAAGGGGGGGATAGAGTGGGAGATGGGGAATCAAAGGAGTACAATAAGCAAAGGTGGGAGACCTGCCCGTTTTTATTTTCTATTTAACTTTTAAAACTTTTTTATATTTCCCTGTGGCTTTTATGTTTTATGTAAAGCACTTTGAATTACCTTGTTGAAATGTGCTATACAAATAAACTTGCCTTGCCTTCTAATGGATTAGTTTTAGTCGATGAAAACTGAAGAGATAGTTTCTTTGTCTTTGAATGACGAGAGAGTTCAGAGATACAGTTTGAGATAGTTTTAGGGAACTGCTTTTCTTTGTCAGAAACAAATTAGTACAGACAGAGGCCCAGAGTCCTAGACTTTGAAAACTCCTGTCTTAGACTTTATCATTTGTGGTTTTCAGGTTTTTTTTATTTCTTTTGGACCTTTTTTTTCAAATGACCTGCCTTTTCTCCGGGCCTGCTAGCGCTTCAGCAGCTAGCTCCCTGGCTGCTTCCCCACCGGCCTGCTTAACACACTCAGCCCGCTAACTGCCAGTCGGGCTGACTCCAGTTCAGTCTCCTGTGTTTTTTGTTAACTGTGTAATGAAATCAGCCCAATCTGTTAGCTCTTCACCAACTAACCTGTCAGCTGGTCCCTCAGCTGTGAAGTCTCAGTAGGAGACTTGGATCTCGCCGCCCTCATGCCACTGTGCAGTCCTGCCCTACCGAGTCAGCACAGAGCAGCTCTTCACCCTCTAAATCACCACTGCTCAGCTCCAAGTCATCGCTGCTGATCGACCCTTCATCCTCATCGCTGCCCTGCTCATTGTCCACTTCAGTTGAAGGTTTATACATTGTTAAAGCGTTACTGAACACTTTTTCCTGAACCAGTATTGTGTTACCAGAAAATAATTCTAAGCTCAAACTCAGCACCACAGACCTTTAGGGCTATTTGGTCAAGACGTGCAGATGGACAGACGTGCATCGGTTGAAACTACCAATCATAATGGAAAAGCAGATACTTAACAAGCTTACGTACTAACTGCCAGCACCTAGGTGACCTATACAACACAGGCCAACTCCACGTAGCTCTTCAGTCCCATCCTCTCCTTCAGGGCTCTCCAGTGGGTGGAAGCCATCCCCAGTTTCACTGTCTGGGGGCTACTCACCCACCGACCACAAGATTGATCCCCGGAAACGTTCCCAACACACAGAATAGAAAATACAGGCAGAGGGCAGGCTCTCTGTGGATCCAGACACTGCCACGCACTTTAATGGGTCAGAAGTGATGATAATAATAATAATAATAATAATAATAATAATAATAATCTTTATTTATAGAGCACTTTTCAAAAACAAGTTACAAGTGTAAAGACAATAATACCCAAGAGACAATAATACAAAAACAATACAAGATAAAAGCATGAAAAACTTTGAAAAGACTAAAGTACACATTTAAGATAAATATAAAATTAGTAAAATACAATAAAATAAAAGGGATAAAATAAAGTCAAATAAGATCGGGAAAGGCTCTCATATAAAAGTATGTTTAAAGATGGGACTTAAAAGAGTTCACTGACTCAGCCGACCTGATTTCCTCGGGCAGGCTGTTCCAGAGCCTCGGGGCCCTGACAGCAAACGCTCTGTCCCCTTTAGTTTTCAGTCGAGACTCTGGAACAGACAACAGACCTCTGCCTGAGGATCTCAAGGTACGTGCTGGTGCGTATGGGACTAAAAGGTCAGAAATATAACAAGGCGAGAGGCCATGAAGAGCTTTAAAAGTGATCAATAGAATTTTAAAGTCAATTCTAAAACATACTGGGAGCCAGTGTAATGAAGCTAAAATAGGAGTAATGTGGTCATATTTCTTTGTTCTGGTTAAAAGCCTGGCAGCTGAGTTCTGGACAGTCTGGAGTCGATCAATAGATTTTTGGGTTAAACAGGTGAAAAGGCTGTTGCAATAATCCAGGCGTGATGAGATGAAGGCGTGTAAAATGGTCTCGGTGTCCTTAAAAGTTAACATAGATTGAATTTTAGCTATATTTCTAAGTTGACAAAACATGATTGAACAAGCTTTGTGGTGTGCTGCTCGAAATTTAAATTACTATCAAACCAAACACCAAGGTTCTTTGCCACAGGCTTAATGTGATTTACTAGGGAACCAGCAGATGGCAGTATTTGATTTGCCATCTGCTGAGACCCGATGACCAGGATTTCTGTTTTGTCTGAGTTCAGCTGGAGGAAATTATTTGACATCCATTTTTAACTTCACAAAGGCAGTTGTTAAGTGAACTCAGCATTCCAGGGTCTGTGGATCTGACGGGCAAGTATATTTGTGTGTCATCAGCATAAATATGAAAAGAAATGCCATGTTTATGGATAATATGCCCATGGGGAAGCAGATACAATGAAAACAAAATGGGTCCTAAGACCGACCCCTGAGGCACACCATATTTAACTGGACAGAATGAGGAGACATAGTTGTTTACAGACACGCAAAACTTCCTATTTGACAGGTAGGATGAAAACCATTCTAGGGCAATACCAGAGATCCCCACCCAGTGCCTCAGTCTGTCTAACATGATGTTGTGATCAATGGTGTCAAAAGCAGCGCTAAGGTCCAGGAGTACCAGGACTGAGCACATGCCTTCATCAGCAGACATTAAAAGGTCATTGGTGACTTTAAGCAGGGCAGTCTCAGTGCTGCGGTACTTCCTGAAACCAGACTGAAACTTTTCAAATAATTTGTTATTTTCCAGTACAGTGAGCAGCTGTTTGGACACAATTCTTTCTAGAATCTTTGCAATAAAAGGCAGTTTTGAAATTGGTCTAAAATTTTGTGTGAGGGAGAGACCTAAACCAGGTTTCTTTAAAAGTGGGTTCACGCAAGCCGTTTTAAAATAATCAGGGACACAACCAGTAGATAGGGAGCTGTTGAAAACAGAGATCAAATGGGGCCCAACAGAATCTATTACTTTCAGTAAAAACTTTGTAGGTATAACATCAAGTGGGCTGGAGGACACTCTCATTTGTGATACTGTTTTTAAAAGCTCAGACAAGTCAATGGGATAAAACTGGTAAAAACTCTCTTGTTGCTGGTGAGTAACCTCTGAGTAAGAGGCCGCGGTTAAGGGGGATTATTTCTGTATGATTAGATGCATTGCATTATTTTAAATCTGCCTTTAAAGTAAACATTCATAGATTAGATATAGATTAAATTCAGTCAGAGTATCACGTCAACTAATAAGAAAAGCAGACAGCATGTTTAATATATTACTTTTCGTGATTTTTGCAAACAAAGCAGTAGTTGTATGTTAACAGGCCACTTTCCCAGCAGCACAGTTATAACCAAGTTTCACATTATATCCACACTAAACTGACAAATCTAAAAAATGACCTTAGATAACTTCTGTTATGATTTGGCGCTCTATAAAAACCAGTGAACGTATTGAGTTTTCAGCACTGTCTGATGGTTTTGGATGGAGGGTTATGAAAGGAATTTCTTTTCACAGACCCAGAAGTGTGAACTGGAACATGCTTCATCATTCCAGTTGTTCTCTTTATCATAGTACTTTATTTCCACACAGTTTTCACTGCTTCCACCGTTAGGCTCCCCAGAATCCCAGTAGCTGAAATTAAAAAAAAGTTTTTATCATTGAACACAACCCAAAAAGCACCAGGTAGTGATTTAATTTGATTGTAAACATGCGTGAACCTTGTAGTCATTGGAGTCCCATCCACCCATTTCCATGTCCCCTCCGTCTCTGAGTCGGTCAGGCCAATCCACATGTACTTGTTAAACTGTCTTATAAAAGTCTTGTTTAAAAAAAAAAGAGACACAAACTGTAAACAACATAATAGAAATGAAACTGATGTATTGATGTATCCTCCACTTCAGTGACCTTTGCATTCATTCAATAGTTCTGCTCTTTATTCTACATGAGTGGTCGTGGATGTGCTACGTTTCTCTTACACACAGATTCATGCACAAACACACACACACACACACACCTGTTCTTCGATGTTGTTGATAATCATCAGGTCTGCACCTTTTTGAAGACAATCATTTCTACTTTCTTGCCAGGTTTTCCTCTGTGAAGAAATGTGATAGAATCCATCTCGGAAAAACTGCCATCCTTGTTGAGTGAATGAAAAACACAAAGTACTTTAAAATATCATATTATCACATTTAACGAACAAGAATTTAAAAAAGGCTTCAGCTACAAAACAAAGAGCCAAGGTGGTATCTATCTTAGAAATATGCATGTTTGCAGCATCATATAAAGACTCACAGGCTGAATATTGGCTCACTTTCATCACTAACAATTTCATCATGATACTTACCATTATTCAACATGTTCATCTTGTCTTTCTCAGCACGGGTTTTGCAACTGGCCTCAGTATCTGAAAGATAATTCCCATTGTCTCTTGAGTTTAAACCTGCAGTGTGGAACTTTTGTCTGTAATTACACAACTATGTTGACTGCTGCTGATGTAATGGCTCTGCCATCCTGAGTTGCTGCTGTCGCTACGGTTGCTTCCCTCTTCAGCTCTGGCAAACCAATCATTGCTGGTTGGCATAAAACACATCACCACTGGTTCACCAGTGCTGGAATCTCGCCACAGACACCAGGTTTAAAAACTCTGGTGTACAGCAGCTTTAGCTAGCGGTGATTGGCTTAATCAGCATTGTGTGAACTCGAATAAAACGGACTTCATTTATATGTAAAAGTCCCGCACTGCGGGGGGGTTCCTCCACTTAATCTAATACAGTATCATTAGCTTTCTTGTAACAGTGATCACTAGTGGTCCTGTTATGATTTGTGTTTGGATCTCATCCTCCCTTATTTTAAAGAAACTGCAAGTGCAGATTATGATATGGCCCTGTATGTTACCATGTTTATTAAGTGATCTACTCACTGATGAAAACAAACTTTGACAGATGCATATTTAGCAGTCAGAGCAGATATTTATCATAACTTGTTGTATTCACGGCTGCCAGTTCCACCTTATGGTCTTAAAATCATGTGATGTCACTGAAGCTGGAGCAATAATGCAGATATCAAAACAAAGTCATAATCAGTTTAGTTTCTGTCTGAACAAACTAAAGTATCTAATTACATTCATACAGTGAGTGCACCTTTGCCACCACTCAAAACCACAAACAGTAGATCATCAAATCAATCCCTTCATCCCTAAAAATAAGGATCTGTCATACTTAACATTTGTAACATTTCCATGCCTGTCAACCCTCCTGTTTTTCCTGGGATTCTCCCGCTGTTTAAATATTTTCCTGTAAATCTCCCATAACAGTGGCACATGGCGCCTGAACAGTGTAAAAAATGTCCAACCACAGGTGAAATAGACCAATACTCACCCACTTCGCTAGCTAACATAACCAAATGTTGGCCTACATTTATCTCAAATGAATTGCAGTTACTGACATTCATTGCATACAAAGTTTATCTTTGGTTATTTGATTTATTATTAAAGTTCGCACTTTGTTGCGACCATATTGGTACATCTGATTACAATGAATGGAAGAAGCTCAGTTACATAAAATGGCAAGGTCGTATGTAACAAGGTCGTATGTAACAAGATTGTTCCTTGGTTAATTCAGTCATTACACACAGTTGTTCGACAGTGTGCATCACTGGCAGGTTATAAGAACAGCAGTAAAAATAAATTATTAGCTAATTACTTCAAATATTCACCTGCTTATATTGACTGAGAATGTCTTTTTAACACACTCTCTAAATATAAAAAAATATATAGTAAAATGCTGGATTTAAATATAACTTTGAGTGATTAGGTTAAGGTCAGCCAGAATTAAGAAAGATATATTTACCTTTAAGTTGTCTCTGAAGATCATTTCTCTCTTTGGTGATGTCTCCAACTGTTTGTTGGAGCTGGTCTCTTTCTTTAGTCAGGTTGATGTTACTGGTCTGTAACTGGTCTCTTTCTATAGTCAGGTTGTTGTAACTGGTCTGTAACTGGTCTCTTTCTATAGTCAGGTTGTTGTAACTGGTCTGTAACTGGTCTCTTTCTATAGTCAGGTTGATGTTACTGGTCTGTAACTGGTCTCTTTCTATAGTCAGGTTGATGTTACTGGTCTGTAACTGGTCTCTTTCTATAGCCAGGTTGTTGTAACTGGTCTGTAACTGGTCTCTTTCTTTAGTCAGGTTGATGTTACTGGTCTGTAACTGGTCTCTTTCTATAGTCAGGTTGATGTTACTGGTCTGTAACTGGTCTCTTTCTATAGTCAGGTTGATGTTACTGGTCTGTAACTGGTCTCTTTCTATAGTCAGGTTGTTGTAACTGGTCTGTAACTGGTCTCTTTCTTTAGTCAGGTTGATGTTACTGGTCTGTAACTGGTCTCTTTCTATAGTCAGGTTGTTGTAACTGGTCTGTAACTGGTCTCTTTCTATAGCCAGGTTGTTGTAACTGGTCTGTAACTGGTCTCTTTCTATAGTCAGGTTGATGTTACTGGTCTGTAACTGGTCTCTTTCTATAGTCAGGTTGTTGTAACTGGTCTGTAACTGGTCTCTTTCTTTAGTCAGGTTGTTGTAACTGGTCTGTAACAGGACCATCTCCATTTCCCACTTGATATCTGTTTGGCACATGAACAATAAATGAACAAATGAGTTAACCAACATCACCTTCTTAGTGCTTCATCAGCATGCCAACACAGTAAGGGTGGTGCAGTGGATAAGAAACATGCCTTTGGTGTGAGAGACCAAGATTTGAATCCACTGTCAGACACCAATGTGTCCCTAAGCAAGACACTTAACCCCTAGTTGCTCCAAAGGTGTGCGATGTCTGACATACAGTTTGTAGCAATTGTAAGTAGCTTTGGATAAAAGCGTCAGCTAAATGAATATAAGTAAATAAATGTAAATGTACTCACACAGAATTATGAGTCCAGCCAGGAGGAGAAGACACAGCAGACCTAGAAACACTGCAGCAGCTCTGCAGGAACTCTTTTTTACTCTTTTATCTCCACCACCTGAAATTAGGAGACGTCTTCCATTATGTTTTCATTTTAAATAAATAAGATTAAATCAAGCTTTGTGTCTTTGCTTCATACTCAATAGATAACAACCATAGCAAGTGTAGTGTACCAACCAGCATTTGTTTAATTATTTTAGAAGAATCCAGCATCTCTCTCTTTGTCTCCCCTGAGAGAAGGTGAGATGAGTTATTTCACCCAAGGGGGCCTCATCCCAGGATTTGGCCTTTGTGACCTGCACAGGAAAGGACCCCTGCACAGACTTAAAACTGTTTATTCTGAGATGCATCTGACCACTCTGACCATAAAGGTGCCACTAAATACACTCCACAGGAAGACCAAAAGGGCAGATAACCAAGGTAACCATGGTAATAATGTTCCCCTTTTAAAATTACCTCTGACCTTCATAGAAATGATATGGTACAGAAATTATCATGTGTTAACCAATTTCCCAGCTCTTGAGCCAAGGATTGAATCTAAAGTGAGCAATCAGGGGTGCCGCACTGCAGGCAGCAGTATCTCAGTCCGTAAGGATTAGGCTGGGAACCGGAGGGTTGCCGGTTTGAATCCAGCTTGGACCAGAGTTGCGGAGTGTGGACTGGTAGCTGGAGAGGTGCTAGTTCAACTCCTGGGCACTGCTGAATGTGGCCTGAACCTAACTGCTCTGGGCGCTGCACAGAGTGGCAGCCCCCTCGCTCTGACATCTCTCTGAGTGTTTCTATGGGTTATGTTTGTGAGTGTGCTTCGGACCTGTGTGTTTAATAATAACAAACATTGAATTTTCCCTTGCAGGATTAATAAAGTATATCTTAATGAAGTATATCTTCTTCAATCAAAGTTATCTTCATTCTCCTTTCATGAAACCAGTGTCTCCCCAGAAGACAAAAGAAGTATTACATGCCATTGTTCTTAACTACCTCTCCTTGTGCTTAATATATATTAGTCTGTTTTATTGTTTTTATCTAATGCCATGTTCTTATGACTCCTTATATATTTTCTAAGAATGCTTAACAATCAGCATTCTCCTGGAAGTATTTAGTTAAGATGCTCTTTCATCTGCTGGGATCCCTAGGAAAAGTTTTTAACTGGTAACCATTCTTTTTTTTGTTATGGACGATTAACAGTAACTTTTCCTTTTATCAAATGCTTAAAACTTAGAACTGTATAACTGGTCATGGCATTTAAAAGTTGATTGTGGAAAGGTATTTGATTTGGACTACTGTGTCTATAGGTAATTATAAAAAAACAAAAACAAAAATGACCTGTAGAGTTCCCCATGGCTCCATTCTGGGGCCTCTTCTATTTAACATCTACATGCTTCCACTGGCTCAGATTATGAAAAACAACCAAATATGTTACCATAATTATGCAGATGACACACAAATTTACATAACCATATCACCAGGGGACTACGATCCCATACAAGCGCTGAGTAACTGTATTGAAAAGGTCAACGGTTGGATGTGCCAGAATTTTTTTAAATTAAACAAAGATAAAACTGAAGTTATTGCTTTTGGATCCAGGGAAGAACGATTGGAAGTCAGTGCTCAGCTACAATCTGTAATGTTAAGAACCACAAACCAAGCCAGAAATCTTCTAGTCATGGACTCAGACATGAATTTCAGGAGCCACATTAAGACAATTACATCACCTGAAGAATATATCAAGGATTAAAGGACTTATGTCTCAGCAAGACTTGGAAAAACTTATCCATGCATTTATCTTCAGTCGACTCGACTACTGTAACGGTGTCTTTACAGGCTCCCTAAGAAATCCATCAGGCAGCTGCAGCTGATTCAGAACGCTGCTGCTCGAGTCCTCACTAAGACCAAAAAGTGGATCACATCACTCCAGTTCTTTAATTAAATCAAATGTAAGGCTGTGGATTAATGTCGTACACTGCACTGTTACTTTTACTGTCCTGTTTTACCCTGTTTTTATTTCCTATTTAACTCTTTAAAAATGTATTTTATCCTGTTTTATTTTATATTTCACCCTTTCAAAAATTATATTTCAGTATGTTTTTTTCAATTTCCCTTTGCTGCAAAGCATTTTGAATTACCTTGTTGTTGAAATGTGCTATACAAATAAACTTGCCTTGCCTTGATTAAAACATGCGCAAAGAGACTTTAAGACCTCCATTAAAGTTAAGACATAGAATCTCAGAGGAGGTTAAAACACCTCCTCCTGGGGACACCGAGGGCATCAAACAACAAACCGATAACGCCAATCACTGCAAGAGTTTTTTTCAACTACCAGCCACTCCTTATTTAAAGTCGGGGGCTGCTCCTTGTTACCTGCACATTGGTCTGGTAAGTAAAAAAGTTTATCAAATGTTGGCTTTCTGTTGTCAGGCGCAGTAACATTAACAGAAAGGCTAACGTTAACTGAAGTTAAGCTGGCTGACACTGAGGTAACGGTAACTTTGCACCAAGTGCTGTAGTTGTGTAAGCCCTATCTGTATAACGTGGAGACAGTCAAACTCTGCAGTCTAGTATGATAAGCTATTGCTAAACGCAAAGTGTTTGTAGTAAGATGTTGGGTAACGTTACTCAGAAAGTCCTACCATTCAGCCCTTCTATTGCAGAGACTAACGTTAGTTGCCTCAAGCGGCTGTAACGTTATTTGTAAAGGAGTTATTTTTTTTACTGTAGAGATTTTCCATTGTTGATGAATCTACTTTATCATGTGTTGTCATGACATGTGGAGAGGTGAACTATATTGCATTATGCAAGACGCGTCAGCACGGTCTCACAGATATTAATGGGATGGACATAATAACAGAAACACCTGTCCATGTTCTACACCTTAACAGCAGCACAACAAACTGGAGCTTCCAAAATGATCATACTTATTATTAGTTATTTTAGCAAAATACTGCACATTATCATTTTTATAAAGGAAGGATTTAAGGCAGGAATGTTATTGCAGAACTGTATTATTTTTAAACTAGATGTGATTAATAAAGGGGTAATTTAAGTCTTAGAATCTAACGTTATTTCTCACAACATTAAACTCTGCCCATGTCCTGTGCTTGTGAGAAGTATTTACTTGCCATTATTTTGTAACCTAATAAAAAGTTGGTGTTCTTGTATTGTGTGCCCATTAAGGACTATAGAGAGTGCTGCTGAAGGAATTTCATCATGGCCATAATCACCTGACTGGCAAAAGCAGCTATTGTACAGGTGAGTCGGATAAATGATGAAATATTGTATTTGAAAAAAGCAGCATTTGATGATGATGATGTTGTTTACTGGGGCAGCGTTCTGAATCAGTGCAGAAATTATAGGATAATTAGTAGGGTAAGAGTAATGGGAAAAGATCATGCTGTACAAAGAGGAGACAGGACCACCAGTGTCCAACATGGAAACACTGTCAAGCTTTAACTACAGAGGGACTGTGGGAGATCTGGGACTGCCAGGAGAAACTCAACATCATCTGCATCTGAGTGCTGGTAACTTGAACAGTAATCAGAAATGTATGCAAATAGTAAAGTATAGCAGAAGTACAGCTTGGGTTTCACGTCAGCAGTAAATCATAATGTTTGTCTTTTGGAAATGACAAACAATTCTGTGGCATCCTATTTACACTTGGCTGCAAAAGGTATCATTTTACAGTCTGCAATGATTGAAAAATAATATATATTATTACCTGGTTGACACAGGACACCTGTTTTTTTTGTTGTTTCATAACAGGGTCGCGGGGGGGCTGGAGCCAATCCCAGCTGACGTCGGGCGCAAGGCAGGGTATACCCTGGACAGGTCGCCAGTCCATCGCAGGGTGGGGGAAGCATATATAATCTAATTCAATGTATAATATCTAATGAAATATATGCAAAGTGTAACAAGAAGGCAGAAGTTGGCCTGTGAGACTTATGTACATAGAGAAGGCCTCAGTGGAGCCTTCTTGAGAGTAAAGATACCATTCTGGGTATGGGACCTCGATATGTTGTTGTAGGTTGTTATATTGAATGTATGTGTACTTAAAGAATATCCATGTAAAGAGAACCAACAAATGACATTGTTTTGCCTAAATTCTATGTTTTACCTTTGAATTCTTGTGAAAACCATGTTGCTAACCAAAAGTTTAGAATGTTTGTGGGTCTGGGAATTGAGAAATTTCTTCTTGGAAACCCACTCAAGGGGGATATCAGATTAATGACTTGTTTTTGTGAACTTTAATAACATAGAAAAGTATTTAGGAGATGACGCAGTTAGAAATCCGCCATATTGTGGATGTGGCTGTAATTTTGGGGGTTTATATTAGAGTTAACAAGGAGTGGTTGTTAGACTTTTTCCAGAAGGCAGAGGGAAAACATCGCCGGCAAATTTGGTCAGTAGAATTAGGATTAAACCATTGAATCATTTAATATCAGGATAATGTAAAGTTAATGTCCAAAGATTTTTAGAAGGCTGATCTAAGTGAATTAGAGGGTTTTGACTAATCTTTGGGATATTGGTAAAGTGATCTCAGTTGCAATTAATTTTCTATTATTTTTATTATTTTTCTTAATTATAACTTTATGTAATCTGTATTAATTGTAATTTTTCTTATGTAAATAAATTATTGAAAAATCTAAAGATACAGACTTAATGATTTCTGTGTCTCTGGTCT